TACTTATTTCCTATGCGCCTTTAGCTCGATCTAGTGACTATTATGCAATATTACATGAAAACATGTGAAAATTAATTCCATTTGTAAAGAAAAAAAAAACAGAAAAAGTTAATTTTGGAATATATTCGCACAGAGTGAAAGTTCACACATATTTACAGGGCCATTGTTTATAAATAGATTCCAAATGCTTAATATGTGCTGAAAGTTGAGTAAATGGTTGGAAATGAATAAACCTTCTTCAGTTGTCTTCCACGTCAGATCTCACAACTATATTAAATTAAAATGTTTTTATTTGTTCACACGTTGGGCATGGATCGAAATCAAGCAACTGCCTGAGGCATTTTATTTAGAAATAATGAGGGAAATTACTTACCTGATAAATGATCATTAAGAAATAAGAAGTCTATGGGGCTCGTCTACCTTTGTCTCCTGGCTGGGAAACAAAGACAAGCCCTATAGGACTCAATGGGGCTGTAATGCACGGCCAGGAGCAACAGAGGCTGCAGCAGTCAGATCTCGGTAAGCATACATCTGCGGAGGGTGGGATCAGTTAGCGTTGAGTAAAAAGAATAATTGCATTTGTTTTAAAGTGCATTTGTTCTTTAAGGTCATGATAGCTAGAGGAAAGGTTCTGCGGTGCCCACTTCTCTTGTGGCCCTAACCACAGTCTCATTTTTCTTAAACCAACCCTGAGTGGACAGGGAATGATAAATATGCGATTCTTAATTGTCATGGCACAACATTTACAATTTTGACAAATTGGTACAAGTTCCTCTGTTTATTAGGTGCATCCTACCTTTAAAAATTAAAAAAAAAAGTGGTTTGCGCTTCAACAATCATTTTGTTCACCACTTGTCCTCATGGTTGAATAACTCCACGCATCATCTGAACCATTTTCTGAGTCCAAGCTCACACAGCCTGGGCTCACAGTATTCCTGGGCTACGTGGTGCTCACACATCATTATGTTGGTGCCTCTCAACACAGGAGGAAGGACTGGCCACCGCCAACCCTTAAGGAAGGAGTGGAAGGATGGCATTGTCACCCTGTTACATCCTCACCTGGTGGAGACCCCAAGCCTCAGTGCTGACACACATTGCACAGGTATGCTACACTGTTGTCACCATCAGAAAGTTAGTCCAGAGTAATGACTCCATGCATAATCTAACTTACTTTGAGTCCAAGCTCACACAACTTGAGCTCACAGTGTTCCTGGGCTACGTGGTGCTCACACATCATTATTTTGGTGCGTCTTAGCACAGGAGGAAGAACTGGCCAACGCCACCCTCAAGAAAGGAATCGAAGAACCTTTGATGGCGTTGTCACCCTGTTACATCCTCACCTGGTGGAGACCACGAGCCGACACATGTTGCACAGGTATAGTCCACTATTGTCACCATCAGAAAGTTGGTTACACAGCGCTTTAGAAAAACTACATGTCATCTCGTATGATTTACGTCCCTTTCAAGCCAAGGTAAAATATTCCAATTCTGACCCTCTTGCAAGGACGGCAAATGTGACACAACCAAAAATGAACAGGACTCCATTATAGTAAAATGAACTCTGCAGAGTTCTGCAGTATTGACAACCGAATGTCCACTTCTCACAGGTCCCATGACTCACAAGGCTTACAAAATATTTGGTAGAAAAACAGAAAATAATAGGGTTTCCGGAGAGGTGTAATTGACCAAGCATATATAGTTGACTAAAAATATATCAGATTTTATTTAAATATACAAAGAATAAATAGAGATTAAAAATAGATACAAATCATATATCATACATTGCCCTGCATAGAGTTTTGGTATACATATACCCAATGATTTCATTCATGTGTATTTATATAATCCAAATAGTCATAATAACATAGTCATGATCATACAGCTGGCATTGGTATAATTGACCAATAGAGTGGCTTAACTTAGTAGGTCCCGACACGTTTGGTCAATTATACCAATGCCAGCTGTATGATCATGACTATGTTATTATGACTATTTGGATTATATAAATACACATGAATGAAATCATTGGGTATATGTATACCAAAACTCTATGTTTGTATATGTATATTTAAATAAAATCCGATATATTTTTAGTCAACTATATATGCTTGGTTAATTACACCTCTCCGGAAACCCTATTATTTTCTGTTTTTCTACCATGTGTACCCTAAGGGGAGAGGTGAAGACAGGGTGCTCATAGTGAGGCAACCCATGGCTTGTAATTTGAATTTTCACTTATTATAATGTGAATATTGTGAAATATTTTGTAAGTTTACAGAGGATGAGGAGAATTAATGTGTTGGCCGTTGTTCTGCATGACTCACACACAGCTCTGCAAGAATATTAGGAGAAGGATTATAAACCAAATGTATATGATGGCAGAACAATAGAACGGTCACAATGATTAAATCATGATGTGACGGGACTGAGCAAATGCCAGAAATAATAAGGATGTGCTGATTGTGACAGTCACATTTTTGGAAAAGGTTCTAACTTGTTAGGCAACGTGTTCAGTAAACAAAGTAGAGGTAATCCCAATGACTAAAAATATCCTCTACCAAGCTTTCATTAAAATAATACCTGGTGATCCTTATATGAAGGGCCTTGTTTAGGCACTTTGTGTTATGTTGTGTGACAACGGCCTGTGCCTGTCTCCCGATTGTGCACCTGCATTCTCATGCTATCACATTCATTATTGGTATTTATATAGCGCTGACAATTTACACAGCACTTTACATTCTGCACATTCGTCAGTCCCTGCCCTTAATGAGCTTACAATCTAAGGTCCCTATCTCACATGCATACATACAGGGCCAATTAACCTTCCAACAGTACTTAGAAACACACACAAGCTCAGGGAGAACATGCAAACACTGTGTAGATAGTGTACCTGACTGGTATTTGAACCAGGGACCCTCAGTGCTGCAAGGCAGACATGCTAACCAATACACAACTGTGCTGCCCATTCATGGATTTCCTGTGGAAACTGTATGATGTCATGAACCTCATCTCTCACACATGCCATACTATTAAAAATATTAGAAGGTGGGGCTGTGACTCCCTTGTCAGAAGAACGCATTAAGGCCTCATTAACATGTGTGGCGCCCTCTCTGAATGTGCGGCGCCCTCTCTGAAAAATGATCAACTGTGGCTGACAGGCATTCAGGAGGCGCAGTATTCTGGTTTTCTTTTCTGTTTTAGATCCCAATGGGGATTTTGCATTGCAATACCATGCTGAAACCACGTGACAGTTGTGGCAGGCAGTTGTGGCACAGTCCCATTGATTGCAATGGTCACGCTTGTCATGAGACACCATCTTCCAAACATGAGATGCTGTAAAAATATTTACCATGGCATATGTCAGAGGCATCCCCGAGGCTGGGTGTCACCCGAAGCGGGTACCGGGTAACACCCCGCTGGGACATCATCATGCAAGTGCGTGACGTCACGGCGCATGTGTGGCCATCTTGGTGATGGACGCCGGCAGAGAGAGGAGGGGACGTTCACCCGGTGGGATAAGGTCATGAAAGTAGTATTTATTTTCTATTCTCCTCAGCGCCATCTAGTGGCCATAATGCAGCATTTTCAGAATATTACATTCAACCCAAAAATAAATATATACGAAGAACATTTTGTTTTTGGTTCCATTCCCACAGACCGAACATTCACCAAGATTCACAGGGTGAATGGCTCTGCAAATTGTTTATAAACAGACCCCTTTAAGCTGTTCCTAAGCTAGATAATTGGTGGCTACACACTTTTTCCATGGACTAACCTCTGCTGCTGACTGACCCTTTGACTTGCTATAAAGCTAAAATATTACAGCCAGCATGGTTACTGGGGAAGGGGTGACTGGGGAATACTTCCTCCTACCTGCAGAAGGAAGAAGACATCATTGCTTGTCAGTGTGTTCATCTCCCCAGGGTAATATCTATCAGTTATTGTAATGTTTGTCCTTGTAAGGCTAGGTTCACACCTAGGCGATCTGACGTGCGATATTGTGCAAAACACAGATTTACATTGAAGTCAATTGAGTCTGTTCACACCTTGGCGGTTTGTCACAGTCTGGGTCCCATAGACATCTCTACGCATTGAAAATCACGTGGTTTTCAATGAACAGTGACTACCTTAAGCGACAGCTTTGAGCTTGCTGGAGGTATTGACATCACATCAAAGATAGAAGCACCCAAAAGAAGTCTCAGGTCTTATATGGTGGCTGATTTTTAAATCTCTAATGGTGGCTGATTTTTAAATCTCTAACCCAGCGTAGAATGGGGCAAATGCCATTCACATGGCACTACCGGGAGACTGGCAGCATAGGAATTACCTGTTCCTCAGCGCCATCTAGTGGCTCTAGTACCACAGGAACATCACTCTCCTAGTAAGCCGTCACTCTCCTATAAACTGTAAGGAAGATTTATAAATCAGCCCCGTCTTGGGAGCAATTTTGTTGAAATCAATGGCCTGGTGACAGGATCTTTTCAAAGCCAAACTCCAGGCACAAGGAAACAAAATATATATATAATCCTTGAAATGCCCCCCCCCCCCCCCCAAGCTGCAAGGGTTAACTATTTGTTGCAAAAAGAGAAATAAGCAGTAATAATTACCTTATTCCTCAGTCTGGCAAGCACCCTCCATCTGTTTGACCCTTCCACTGAAAACCTCCTTCTTAAGGTGATCTGGTCCGTAGTATCACACAGACCTCCTCACATACAATGCAGGACTCTCTGTCCTGCATTGTATGTGAGGATGCTGAGAGACCACCCATGCCATCAGAAAGCATGGAAGTGAGGAATATGGTAAGTAATAGAGCCTCTTCCTCTACCCTCTAGAGTTAACAAGCATTTAACCCTTCCAGTAAGGGGCAGCATGCAAGGGTTATTCTTTTTTCATGACAGTTGGGCTTTAGGGGGGTTACATTTTAGTTTCCCTTTAAACCATTAAAAGAATCACAGCACACCAAGTGCAAGTTTTTTTTAGTTGTACAAAAATTGAAGAAACGGTTGCAGGCTGCCACGTATGAGGGGAAAACTTCTTTTAGAGTCTCAAAGTCTTTCTGGTTTAAATGCAAGTGATGAGTGGATGAGCAAACTCAGCCCTGATGCGTCTCATCTTCCCTAGAATTCTCTTCAGGTTGCTCAGCTGCCATCTCTTTCGCTTTCCTTAATCTTTCAGCGTCTGTGATGGTCATTGGATGTAATGGAAAGAACCCTGCAAGTCCTGGAAATAAGAACGCAATTAGAATGTAAAAACAGAAAAACTGCACTTAGCAAACACTCCTATATTCATTCAAGACAATAACATTTCTATTATGGCAGGCAGCAATGTTTAAATATGTTTATAAGTTATGAAATGTGAATGGGAACATGTAACAAATATAAAATAGGAGTTATCCCAATCTGGCTGCAAAAGCAGAAATACACTTTAAAGTTTCTAATTTAATTGCAACAACGGTCGGCCCATCGAGGGTTACCTACAGCCTAGCTGAAAACCTACTACTGGGAGCTATCAGTGCCGTCCCGTCTGTAATCTGGGATGCTCCTATACTGGGAGCGCTCCCAGCATTACTGGAACAAGTGCTCTCCCTCTTTGAATTTCCCAGTTGCAGCAGCAGAACTTCGCCGCTTTGGGGCCAGAAGGAGTACTGCGCCTTGACAGAGGGAGAGTGCTGGTTCCAGTGGCAGACTACTTTTTCAGCCAGGCTGTGGGTTAACCGCAATGGGCCTACAAAATGTTAAAGCTACACAGTAATTTTATGATGCAGGGCACCCTAGACTGCATAGTGCACTTGTTAAGTGAAGTAAACAAAAGAAGGGTAACTAAATAAAGGCGTTAAATCTGCAGTTTTCATTAAAACGGAAGTAAAGTCTGCTGTGCCTGGTGGGCTCTTGCCATAACTTCCAAGTATGCACAACATGCTGTCACATTTACAAGACAAGTGTGCCCTGCAGTGTGATCTGCTCTGTCAGTGCCACTCCATCCACCATATCTTTATATGCCTCTTTTGGGTCCCTGTCTTCCTTTCTGACCATTTGATTGCCGGTGATGACGCAACTCCTGCGCACAGGGTTTACTTAGTCCTCAGCCCCTGGCTTGATTCTTGGGACACTGGAGATGCTGCAAAGAACCTGGGGTACTACCTTGCACCGTGCAGTGTACACAAGAGAGAAAAACTGCTAGACGTTAGAAGCAGTTTTTTGTCTTCCAGAAGAGGGGGAGCCCCCCTGCAAGGGTTAATGTTGAATATGCCCGGAGTTCTACTTAACTAATTCCAGTTTGCTAGTTAGTGAAAAGTAGTTTCTTTTTCTCCCAAACCAAACCAGCTTGTTATGAACTCACCTAAAAGTTTTGCAGCAGGTTTGGTAATCTGTGCTCCAGAGGCCATCCAATATTTAATCCTCTCAATGTTCAGGCTTACGAGTTTCTCATTATATACATTGGGCAGTGGATCGTATGTCCCCAGTTTGTCTAAGTGCTTTCCATCCCGTGCTCGCTTATTGTAGGCAGCAACAATACGGTAGAACGGTCTGTTGGCGCATCCCCCGAGAGCCATTCGGATGACAACATGACCTCCATAATAACGGCGCAATACCTGGGATGCTGAAAGGAAAAAAAAAAAAAGAGAAACATGTTACTGTATTAAAGATGAACTCTGGGAATTTAAAAATATTTCCCTGCAGTGGGGCTACCCCAGCACTGCAAGGGTTAAGTGCTCCTTTTGTCTAGGGCAGGCAACCTTGGCTCTCCAGCTGTGCTAAACTACAAATCCAATCGTGCTTCTGGGAGTCATGCCTGTGGCTTGCAATGCCTTATGAGATTTGTAGTTTCAGCACAGCTGGAGAGCAATGGTTGCCTACCCCTGGTCTAGGGCACTCAAATCATATACTCACCTGATCCTTGGTCCCATGGTGGCCAGCACTCACCTCTTTCTCGCTCCACTCAAGCTATGGAATGTCCTTTAGCATCCTTACGTGTAATGCAAGCCAATGGACCTACAATAGATGTGATTATGTCAGAGGTCCTTAGACCGTGAAGCCCAGGGAAGAAAAGGCTGCGAGGACCTAGCAGCCCTGCGGGACTGAGGATCAGGCGATTATATCACCTTTATTTGAGCAGCGTAGACAAAACGTGCACTTAAACCTTGCAGTGCGGGAGTAACCCCACTGCAGAGGTACGTTTTTTCAATTCCCAGAGTTCTTCTTTAAGCTAGCCATACATGGCTTGATGTCTATTGTTCAGGCTCACAGTCAATCATTGAAGAGAGTGTGGCCGGGGGAAACTCCTCCCACTGGCTATTGTATTCAGACAGCCACAGGTGCCGAATCCTATTGGATACAGTCACCATTCTGCCAACTCCTTCAATTCAAACCAATATGGTTTGAATTGCGAATAAGGGGTGAGGTCTCGGACCACCTGCAGTCATTAGCCCTGTGGAGTTACGATATGAGAATCAAGGCCAACTCCTTCAAAGCTTGTCAAGCTGGGTGGCTCAAATTGTGGCAGGAAATGGCCGAAATTTGAGTCGCATTTGGCCAATTTTATATCATAGTTTGTGGTCAGTTCTACAATGACAGAGAAAGACAACGTTCAACAATTATGAAAACCATAGCGACTAATCAAGAGTCTCCCCCCCCGCACCGCCATGCTGGAATGAGATAGCCAGCAGGAATCTCTGTGAAATTGGCCTTCAATTGACTCCAATACAACTTCACACAAAATGTTTAGAAATTTGCAGAAATTTTATTTTTTTCCCTTTGGCAAAAGGTCAGCAAAATAAACAGAAACCTGCAATACTTACTTAGATGAACCATTGTGACATCTCCAACAAGCCCTGTAAGAGAAAGCAGACAATGCTGTCATCTGTCCCTTAACACCCCATTACACAATAACACTAGACATAAAAATCTGCCATATTGCTCTAGAAAATACTTTAAAAAAAAAAAAGTATATTTAGCGTGTGCTCATTCATTTGATTTACACCTATTATTTATGTAGTGCCATTCGAATTTTGATTCTGCAATTTTCGATTTCTAAACAAGTATTTATCATAGCACGCTGCACTCAGGAGTATACAAATACTAACTTGTTTCCTCACTTCCCCAGTGCAAGCCCTCAGGCACAAAGCAGGGCTGTCTGGTCACTCAGCTTGTGACTGGGCAGTGAAGGAGCAGCAAAAGACTGACATCACTCTGCTCTCTTATCCTGTCATCAGGTTTCTTGGCTGCGCACCTGATCGACCTCTATTTTTGTCCCTCTCCCTGTCTTAGGGTCTATTCATACCAGCCTCTGTTGGCGCATTGCAGTGCCATTGCTTTTTAGCAGCACCCCACAAAACCTGCAGCGCAAGCCCACATCTGTTGCATGCATTGAGGTAGTGCACCATAACACACTTCAATGCACGAAAACTGGGTTGAACTGCATCAATGCAATGCAGCTTTAAGATCTGGAAAGATGTTCCCAGTGCTCCCGAGACATATTGATGTTTCTCCTCCACAGCAGACCCCACCATGTGATTTCAATACACATGTGCCAGAGAGGTTATTACACCCTCCTGATGTCTCTAGACTGACACAGCTATGCTCCTTGATCAGACCACAAACCTAATTTCATATAACGCTCCTGGATGACAGGTCCACTTTCATATAACAGAATAACCAGTCATGATGATCCCTTACCCGTCTGCTAGGAAGAGCTCAGTGTGACCTGCCCTTCACCGCCCTCCCAAAACACAGCATGCCACCTCTAGGAAGTATGAACGCCTTCTGATGACGTCAGGATCATGTGACGGGTAACATGTGGAACTGCAGCCACGCCCCTCTCGGTGCAGTTGGATGAAGCCCCGCCCTCCTCTAATGTTTTCTGATTTCTGTGAAGTGAATTACTATCACTTATGATACATCGTTTCATTTTTAAACGTGAAAATGTTTTATTTTAATGAAGTGAAGAAGTTTAGCAGGTTTTTTTAAACCCGCGCACACCATATTAGAGCGCGACTTACAGACGTCATCCTGCAGGGGGCGCGCACACACCGCCCGGCAACAAGACTCAGCTCTATGATACCGGTGGCTCTCGTTCCCCACTTCCAGTATGGGATCCGGAAGTGGGGCAGGGTCGCCGGTTGGAATGTGTTTCTCTGGAGTACAAACATGGCGGCGTGAGTGCGCAGCTGCTGTGGACTGGTGAGTGCGCCCTCGGGGACCCCCCGGAGGTGCCGGTTCTGGTTATATTTGGGGTGGGAGCTGCCCGTGACAGGTGCTGTGGAGGGAGTGGGAGGTGAAGGAGACACGCCCCCCCAGTTAGCGGTAGGGTGGGGCTAGCTGTCAGTGAGCCCCGTGTGACAGGCAGGTGGGAGCTGACTACAGGGACACCTGTATGGGGGTCAGTATAGGACTGCCATGGCAGCTAACAGAGAGAGAGCTAAGTCACAGCCGAGTTGACTGTAATGTCCTCACACCTCACTCACACCTCAATCACATATATAGTACTTTCACTTTACAGTAAACAGAGGCTGCCATGGCTGACCTCCTGGAAATGCAAGTTGTCTGGCTGTTATGCTGATCATCTGGCTTCAGTAATTTCAGTCACTGATGCAGAATGAGCATTGTAATATGTTGGAGACAAATCAGAACACCTGATCCGCATACCTGATCTGGGTCACTGATTTAAAGCGGAACTCTGGGCACAAAAAACACTAATTTGAATATATTCCTCAGCAGGCACAACAAATATAAATCCCTTTACAAACTTGGATATTACCAGGTTAAAGAAACAGTGGCATCATCACTGTACTGCACATAGTCTGTGCAGAGAGCAGAACTGTGGGAGGAGCCCAGCAGGCCCTACCCATTACAGGAGGGTGCGGAGGCAAGACCAGTCACCCTGCACAAGGAGAGAGAGCAGCAGTGACCGGTCTTTATTACAGGAGGAGGCAGAGACAAGACCAGTCACCCTGCACAAGGAGAGAGAGCAGCAGTGACCGGTCTTTATTACAGGAGGGGGCAGAGACAAGACCAGTCACCCTGCACAAGGAGAGAGAGCAGCAGTGACCGGTCTTTATTACAGGAGGGGGCGGAGACAAGACCAGTCACCCTGCACAAGGAGAGAGAGCAGCGGTGACCAGTCTATATTACAGGAGAGGGCGGAGACAAGACCAGTCACCCTGCACAAGGAGAGAGAGCGGTAGTGACCGGCCTTTATAACAGGAGGGGGCGGAGACAAGACCAGTCACCCTGCACAAGGAGAGAGAGCAGCAGTGACCGGTCTTTATTACAGGAAGCTCACACTGGATCACTGCTAAGATCTGGAAGAAACACACAAAGCTCACCAAAATTTAATAAGAATACACATGTGTCTTGTATTTAGACAATATTTGTTTATAGTAGACCTCAGCTTTAAAAGTAATGACGCCAGAGGATCAGCATGGCACACAGGGGGCTAGCAGGCTTCTCAGGCTTCTCTCAGCCCAGGTCTACTAGATGTTGTTTGTACATTATTCACGCTCTGTTTGCTACAATGCAGATTTTCCAGCTTGGTGTGATCATTGATGTGTGTTATATGAATGAGGTTACTGTGATTCCTTCATTATTATTATTATTATTATGTTAAATGATAATAACATATTCTAGTTGCATGCAGTTAAAGTGGCACTCCGTCCACATAATTTCTTTGACACCGGTCTGTGTGGGTTAGGCATTGATAACCTTCCAGTGTCTGTGATCACTTCCCCTCCCCCGGTCCTGCACTGACAGCCGCGGCTCTGCTGTGAGATGAATTTCCTGACTTCCAGGTCTGGGATCAATTCTTTCCATGTTACAATTGATGAATAAATAGGGGAGGCGGTTGCAGCGTTCTTATGTCATATTCCCAGCAGCAATAAGTGGAAAATGTAGTTTGATGGGGGGGGGTCGGCAGGGGGATGGCTTCCAGCTTCTCCTGAGCCTTGGCTGTCCAGGAGGATTGGGGGTCAGGGTTGGAAATCCTCTCATGGGGGGGTCATAGATGGCCTGAACCCCTTCCCTTACTCTCTACGAAGCTAAATAATATAAACAGCGGGTGGAGACTGACTAGAAGTGTTTGTTTTTATCTGAGGGACGTTTTGTTATTGTATCACTTTGTATATAAACATCCGATACAATGTATCCAAATGTATTCCGTGGTGTCTCCTCATTGGCCAGCTGCCAATATTTTCCGTGTATTTGCACACCTTGCATTCTACATTCACATAGGCCTCCCGCATTTATGTCATTAAGGCCTCATTCACACACAACGCAAAAATTGTATATTGCGTGTATATGCGTGCACTATATGCAATCCCAGAATGCATCATTCGTAATAGAAATTTGAATGAACTTGCGCGAAGACGTGTATATGCGCGTAAAATACGCAGAAATACGCTGCCCGGACGCATCTCGGTTCCATCCTGTTTTTGCACATTTTTACGCTACGCAAATACACGGCTCCATACGCAGCTATGTGTATAGAGCCATTTATTTGCATATGGTACAGTACGCGCGTAATATGCGCGGCAGTGTGAATGAGGCCTTAAAGAAGAACTCCAGGCAATAGAAAACTTAACCCTTGCAGTGGGGCTACCCCGGCACTGCAAGGGTTAATTGTTCATTTTGGTCTAGGGGTGCAAAAAAAGGAAATGGACTCACCCGATCCTCAGTTCTGCAGCGGTCAGCGCTCACCTCTCGCCTCCCCCTGCTCCGTCTGTGGTGTGTCCCACGTAGTCCTTGCAGTTGGATTACATGTGATGGTGTCACAGGTCCTTAGACCGCCGGAGTTGGGGGGAGAAGAGGCTGCAGGGGCTGGTCTAGCGGACTGGCGCGATTGAGGATCAGATAAGTGTATTTTTCTTTATTTTATCCCCTTAGACCAAGCAAGCAGTTAACCCTTGCAGTGCCGGGGTAGCCCCGGGTTAATTTTTTGATTGCAAAACAAACATACAGCGCCTTGTCCTCGTGTAATACAGTTTATTAATCAATGAACATACAAGCTGACATAAAATACTACTCGCATGGTAATCACTGAATGAATGGTACAAGGCAGACCCCCACACAAAGCTGCCTTGCTAGCTGACGCATTTCAGGGAATATACCCCCTTCCTCAGAGCTTAATTTTTTGATTGCTTTAAACACAGATTAGTAAACTAAACATGAGATTGTAGTCCATCCCGGGAGTGAGCTTGGAGCGGTGACTACTTTACAACACACACAGGGACCATGGGGAACAAAAGTAGCCCCCCTCCAGAAGGAAGGACAGTGTCAGCACCAATTCAGAGATGTTTTGAGGATCTACAGCCGAGTGATACACAAATAAGATACATTTCTGTTAATAGTTGGGTTTCTTGAATGTATTTTTAAGATTTAACTTCTGAGTTTAGTGTCACTTTAGATGTCAGTGATTCATTCATCACCAGTGAATGTTTGGTGACAGTAACCTTCTTTGATTGATAAATCTGCCCATGAGTGTCTGAAGGAAGCACACATCCTGTTCCTTGTAGCATTCAGACTGATTGGTTGGGTAAAGAGCGCCCTGAAGTCATATGCCTTGCGAGTGAATTATTCATCGTTAAGTTTTACCATCAATGTGAGAACTCCGAGACATTTACTACAATGCTTTAAACTTCAATCTCCGACCTATACTGTCTCTATATTTCCATGGACTGTACGCAAGGTCAGGGCAGGGGGTAAAGTTACAGATACATTTGATAACCTACAACAACAACAACAACAAAGGTATTTGAAGCTGTTCTATTTATTTCTTATCTTTTATGTTGGATAGAGAAGGGAAAAGTTAAAACCCTGTC